CTCTTCCCATCTACCCGGAGTACAGAGTTGGATTCCCTTTCTGGGAGTGGCCAGCCTGACGAGTTGGGCGGGAACCCGGCTATCCTGTTTCTTTTCATCTTGTTGCTGGAGTTTTCACTTGGCTCTCTGCCTGATTTTCCCTGGATTCTGTCTGATTTCCATTAGATGCTGGAGATACGGGAGCAACTCGTATTCATGCCATAACATCTGTTGCCTGTGCTGATGGATGAGGGTCTGCGGATGCTGCTTTCTAGGGACAAGGCAGGCACCCTCTCAGGCACACCTGGGCAATCAACAGGACTGGGAAATCTGCTCTCAAATTCCCCCTGGGGCTGGTCGGCCATAGAGCCATTAGCAGTACGTTAACATTGACTTGTTAGACAGTGGCACTAAAGACCCAAGTTTTACCAGTCCTATTTCTTAATTACATTTAGTTAATTGAGAGAGTGACAGACAGAGAGAGAGAGAGAGAGAGAGAGAGAGAGAGAGAGAGAGTGGGGGTTATTAGATTGTTCTAACTTTGTAAGGGAATGAAAACCTCCTAGGCAGAATGGGAGATGAGGACTTGGTTCTACTCCCTTGGGTGGTCCCAAGGATATTATAATAGGTGCCATGTTTTAGGGAAGGGGTAAGGGAGCAAAGAGGTAAGTGTTGGGAACAGGGAAAAAGGAAGGGAGGAAATTAGGTTGCCCAAAGATTTGTTATGAGCTGAAGTTATGGGAAGCCCATTCCCATAATGCCTTACAAGGTTGTAAGATTTTTAGGGAACTCCAGTCTTAAATTGCCGTCTCTGTGGCTTGCGTATGGTGTGAGTGTGTCCTGCATGAGTTCTTGTGTTGGAAGGTGGTGTGGAATCTTTAATAGCAGAGGCTCATTGAGACATGATTAGATCACAGAGGGCACTGACCTTGGAAGAAAATGAAGTAGTGGGCCATTCTGTTTGGAATTTCAGCCTCCAAAATCATAGCTAAAGAAACTTCTTCACTTTATTAGAAGTCACCCAGTCTCAGATATTTTGTTATAATAATGGAAAATAGACTAAGACACTGGCTTAATGCAGGAATATATGTATCCATAGCCAAACCAGCAATCCTACAGTCTCTAGAGTGTTCATTATTCAGCAAAGAAGGTCGTAGGAACACTTATGGTCTCATAACTCTCTCCTTCAGAAGTTCTTCTGGTCTAACCTGAACCTATCCATGGTACTTTGCATGTTATCTTCTGCAGGGAAAGAAGAGTCTGAATCCCATGATCTTTAAGATATAAAAGAGATGTCAGAGTTGGCTTTGTCCTTTTTTTTTCCTTTTTTTTTTTTTTTTTTGGTAGGAAAATAGCATTGTTTTTTTGTTTTTTTGGTTTTTCTCCGGTACCAGGAACTGAACTCACGACCTTGCGCTTGCCAGGCAGGCGCTTTGCCGCTGAGCTAAATCCCCAGCCCCGGAAAATAGCATTGTTATACACCGATTTAAACTTTAAAAAAGACAATATGTCATCTCTAACTTTAAAGGTGAGAAGCCAGAAGTCCTTGAGAAGTTAAGGGCCCAGGTTCCCCAGGGAATTAGAGGTGGCCCTTGAGAGAGCACAAGCCTCCAGGCTCAGGCTGGGCCACTTACCTCGCACCACTTGCTTCCCCCTAAACATCCTTCTCATCTCCACATACCTAAGGAATGGAATCCTGAAGTTCAAGGGCTGGGAGGGGCTCTATAGAATATTAATGACAAGCATTTATGTGGAATGTGAGGCAGAATAGAAAGAAATTCCCCATTTCTTTTCCCAGCAGAGTCTCACACTGATCTTGAGTGAGGCACACTAAGATTAAGTGACTTGTGCAGGGCCTCTCAGCTACAGAATAGTGAGATGGGACCTGAACCAGACCTTTGGATTTTAAGGGTAATTCTGTGACCTGACATAATGCCTCTGAATAATAAGGAAGACACTGAAGCTGTGAGACTTCTACTGGTTATTAAGAAACTGGACACTAACCCAGGCCATCTGACTGCATTTTTTACTGACTGTCCCCCTGTCACCCATTAGCCTGCCTTGTAGAAGAGGCCAGAGTTCTCTGTGGGGGTTCTGCTCAGCTGGCCTCAGACAGGTGGGCCTTCTGAGCTGCTCTTGGCCCTCATCCCTGACCTTAGCCCCTGATAAAGTCACCGGGTCTCCTATTTTTATCTATGATGTATCTGTCCAGGTGACCAGCTTCAGAGCTCCATCACCCATCCCCTTTGGACTTGGCCTCCTGAGTATAGCTCCACCTAATATATGAGCTCCCCTATTAATATCTCTCTTAACCAGAGACAGCCCGTGGCATTGAATACAAAGTCTTCCTGTATCTGTCATCACCACTGGGTACTATTTATGTGCTCTTTTTGGTGCAGGTTGTACCATGACATAGGTCACCAGGAGCAGAAGATGAGGATGAAGAAAAGCATATTTATAAATAAGATACATGGGCCTGTGGTGTGGTCAAGGCTAATGCTCCCAGAGGTGAGATCAGACAAGGACTCAGGAAGGCATTGCATATCCTGAAGTCTACTTATTGTTCTCCAACCACAACCCAGCTCCTCTTTTTTTACTACATTTTGAATGCATTTTTAAACAGCCAAAATTTATGCCTTGGCACCTTTTCAGTCCCCACAAGGCTCAGTGATGACTTCTATTTGCTGTTTCTGCTTTTTTGGTTCACTGGGCTTGTGGAACCCAAGAGGGTGCTCTTACTCTGAGCTAGTTCCCTGGTCATCAGCCGTACCTGGAGTCTCTTGAAAATATCACACAGAATGTGAGTCTATTCAGTCCTTCTGGCCACGCTTTTACCTGCTTATAACAGGGTATCATATATCTGTTCAGCCTTCTATCTGTATATATTCCTGCAGAAGTGTCAGGGGTGGTGTTCAACAAATGCTAAGACATTTTGGGCAGTGATAATCTGATGCTACATTTTGGATAGTGGGATTTGGTGACTTGTGGCTGTTTTCTGCTTGTAGTGCTGGAATTTGTAGGGTGATCATCTCCCATTTTTATCTAAAAAAACAACCTGTCTGACAAAGCAGAATAGGGAGAAAAAGCAGAGCACTTATAGAATTTATAGATGTTATAGATGTCGAGGTACATGTCTGTCATGGTTTAGATCTAAAATGTACCTCAAAAGTTTCATGTGTTCAGAGGTGAGAGTTTTGGAAGGTGATCAAATCATGGGGTTTATATACTCACCAGTGCATTAATCAACCCATCCTGGATTAATCAATTCACTGAAAAGTTCTTAGATGAATGTAGTGTTGGGAGATGGGGCCCGTTGGAAGAGGTGTGTGACTTGGAATGATGTATTCTTGTCCCCAGTTCCTCACTTTTCTCCCTGTTTCCTGGCCACCATGGGCTGAACAGTTCCCTCTGCCAGGCTCTTGCCCTGTGCTGCTCTGCCTTAGAGCCAGCTGACCATGGACTGAAGCCTTTGAAACCCTGAGCCAAAGTAAACCTGTCTTTCTCTAAACTGCTTGTGTTGGATATTTTGTCCCAATGTGGGAAAATGACTAATACAATGTCTCTCGTCCTCTTTAGATTATAGTCAAAACAAGAGTAGTGGATCAAGTCTCCTTCATTTTGATGTTTGCCTAATACTTTGTTCCCAGTAACTGTGTGCCCAGTAATGCTCTCTTGTAGGCCTATTTTACTGGGACTTTTATCAGGACCATAGTCCAATGTTCATTTTCAAAACTGTCTTAACCACTCTAAGGTAGGCAAAGTTTCCTCCAGCTCTACAAAATTCCCATCTGGACTTGATTATGCCTCAATTGCAGGGGCCACACAAAAGAAGGTGAAAAAGACGGTGGGTTCAAGAGGATCTGGATGTAATTTGCATGCAATTAGCATATGATTTGTGTCATCTATTCTCAAGAAGTAATTTTCAAGTTAGAACTGCATCACTGCCTCCCTTAATGCTGTCATGTGCCCATCCACCTCTTCCTTACTCCTTCTGTTCATCGCTCATCCCCGAATTCAGACTCCTTACATTTGAAAAAAGAGTAAAGAGAACTTTGGGAAAGGTGAAACTGATCAAGGTCAAGGGGATTCTTGCAGAATAATCAGAATGACATCTGAGGCAGGAGCCATCGGTCCTTCCGGCCCCAGCCACTGTCCTCAGCTGCTGAGGCAGGCTCACAATCTTATTTCTCCTTCTTTGTCTTTATTTGACCCATTCTGTTCAGGAAAACAACAAGACCAAGAGGGCTGCTGAGTGTCTATTAACCCACTGACCTAGAGCGTGGGATGGCCTAGCTTTTGCTAAGATTTTTGCTTAGTCCTCTGGACCCCCAGTGATCTGGAGAACCCCTGTCTTCTTTCCCTGCACCATGGCTCCCTCTGCACTGGCCTTCTCTGCTCACGCACAATCTAAGCAAATGCAGTTTGGGGGAATAACACTCCCTCCCTCCATCCAAGAGCATAGGGGACTTGGTCAGATGTCACCCAGCGGAGGATACAAGTGGGTTTTGTAGGGCTCCGCATCTCTGCAGGCATAGTTTCAGCCTGCCAGCTCTGACCACCTTGTACCCTGCCCTGGTGTAAGACTCAGGCAAAGATTTTATCTCTTTCTGGGGCTCTATCGTGGGTCTGTCTCTCTCAGGAGCCAGCCCAGCCTGGAGGCCTGGATTATTTACACCTCTTTGGCACCCTTGAGCAGCAGACTCTGTGGGCCCGATAGCAGTAAATCTACCTCCTAATCACACCAAGCTGCTTCGTGCAGTCTGGCCGGTTCTTGTGGGCTGTTCATCACTCTCTGAGACAGGGGCTGTGGATGAGGGAGAAGCCTCCGGGAAGTGGCCGCCCCCCTTCCCAGCTTTCCTCTGGCTCCCTGCAAAAGCCTGCAGGGACTCAGCCTCTCTCAGGGCCCCTGGGCAGCCAGCCCAGATGTCTCTCTTGTGAGATGCAAAAGCTTCAGAACAAAGGTGAAGGATTATCAGAGGTGTCCTGGAGTCTGGAAAGGATGTATAGGTGTGAGCACCTACCTGCCTTTCAGACATGACGTACAGGTAGCGCTGATCAACGGAGAAGGCCATGTCCTGGAGGATAGGGCTCCCATCTTTGAGCACAGAGACCATCTCGTACTGGACCCCACCATGGGGGGGACCATCAGCTCGAATCTGCAAGAGAAACAAGGGTGTTCTCAGCATCTACATCAGCTATCCCTACAGCCTCCCTGCTTCCATCTAGAGGAGGTGACTTGCAGAACATAACTGCTACTCCCTCCAATTGCTACTCTGTAGAAAGAAGAGCCACTTATTCCAAAAACCCCAGTTTCCATAAAGAGGAATTCTTTCCCAGCAGTCTGAGTATGCTGGGCTTGGGATCACAGATGGTGGTTTATTTGTATGTGCTCTTATGCTCTTAGGAATTATTTTGACCATCCATATGTGGTAGTTGTTGTGTGCATCTATTTATATTTAGGGACCCATGGGATGCATGTGTACGCAAGTGAGTGTGTGCTTATGCACACTTATTTGGGCCTGCAGCGGGAGAGTCAACAACACTACAAGTATCCTTGCCCCAGGCAGATACTGGGAATAGTGGATAATTATGCAAACCATCAAAAAACTGGTCACCAAGAGAGTCAAGAGTTTTAGACCTCAAGCAGTCGTTCTCCCTCTAGACAAAGGCTCTAACTATCTGCGTGTCCACTCAGTGAGCAGTGGTGATCCAGGTCTTCCCAAGCCCAGTGCAGGACAATAAGAAAGACTTGTACTTCTCAGCCCTGGTTGCACAGTTGAATCATATGGGAAGTTTGAAAAAAATACAAATGCCAGGGCCAGACTCATTCACCAGAATCTCTGTGGGTGGGGTCTACACACTGTCACTGAGTTTTAAAAGCTCCCCAGGTGAATTAAATGATCAGCCAGGATTGAGAAGCAGCAATATAATCCAGCATTCTCAAACCAGTGTGCCCTCAGTTTGCAAAGGCTGGGCCCACTCCAGAATTTGGGGTGCGAGTGGGGTGAGCTTGCATACATGCATTTCTATCAAACTCCCAGGGGCTGCCAAAGTTGCTAGTGCAGGAGCCTGAGAAGCATTAGGCTGACCTCTGCACATACAATACTGAAACTCCAAGGGGAGAGGTCCTAAGGTCATGCAAATAGCTGGGGGCATGGAGTCCTTGGTTCAAATCTTCTCCATCCCCATCTTCTTTGCCCAGCCTAGCAGCTGACCTTTGATCAGTGTTCCCTGCCCTAGGTTTTCTTCATCCTCTGCCCACCTACACACCCTCTAGCTCAAGCCCCACCTTCTCCAGGAAGCCTCCAACTTTTCTAATGGTTAATTAATTGCTCCTACGCTGATGCCTTTTCCCCACCAACCATTTTGTCCCAGGATTACAATCAGTTGATTTGGTCATTGTATGTGTCCTCGCTAAAGGGTATTGGCACCTACTTGAGCTGCTCTCTAATCATTTCAGATGCACCTAAGCTCTGTCAAACATTTTGAAGGTGAGGATGTGCTTTCCGACTCTCCTATAACCCTCCAGGATGTGCATGGGGCTGGAAACCAGTGTGTGATGGGTAAAAAGGAACACTTGAGACACACTGTGGAAAGGACATGTACTATGTACTGACTGATAGTGTATCCAGGACTCATAAGTTCTAAATCAAAGTGAGGGCAAAAGACATTTTCTTGCAAAGATGTGAAGAATAAGCCTTCTTCATTATACCATCTGCACTGCCCTTGTACTAACCATCTCCTCCCTCTGCCTATTTCTCCCCATCACACTGAGTGCTCCTGAGGGCAAGGAACGAGGACTCATTCATCCCTCAGGCCAAGCTGGGTGCCCAACCCTGCTGCCAACATGGAGGGCGGGATGAATGGAGACACCTTCAGTTCTTATGGGTGGAGTTGAGGTCACCAGTGTTATTTATTGCAGGGTTGGGGGCATGGGGCCAAAGCTTGCATTCTTATTTTTCTACCGTGCTGACAACTGGAGGACTTGAGGGACCGAGTCAAGGCATGGTCTGCACCCCTAGGGTTGGATGGGACTAAGCAGAGTGGGAAGCGGATGGCGACCCATTGCAGCCTTGGCAGCTCTGGATCTGGAGTTCTCAGTGGTAGAAACAGCAGGTTCCTCCTGAGGTTCTTATGCATCAGCCCAAGGGTCAGGAACAGTGGGTCAAGCCTCAAGTAGACCATACCACAGAGTCCTGCTCACCTCTTAGCCGGGGGCTCTGAGCTTGAAGTTGGGGAGGAAATGTCAGTAGAACCAAACACAGCCTTCTCTCAGCCACTCCTGCCCCAACACCTTCACTCTTTCCTCTAAACTCTATCCTTCCCCTTTTTCCTACCCCAGTAGTGCGCTTTCCACATTCCAAGCTGTTGCCTTGACAACCATCACTAAAGCCCCTCCTTCTGGGAACCTGGTCAGGGGCCCATTTGCTTCATTCTCAGGGGAAGGGAGCCTCTAGGAGTCAGACCTGGATGCCGCAGAGTGTGGCATCTACCATCTACTCGAGAGCAATTATAACTATGAGATTCAGCAAGACAGAATAATTGGGAAAAGTGCCCTCGATTACAATGGCTTTCCCTAAGATTCAAAGAAGCATCCTCCTGTAGATGCACAGACCCAAGTTTCCACCAGGCCCCTGCAGCAATGCAGTAGCTCCGGGTCAACAAAGCTCTTGGGTAACTACAGGATGTGGGGGGTATTGCGACAGTCATGGCTTCTGGCTGGCTTGGCTTCAGTTTTCTCCTCTACAGCCTTGGGAGTTCTTGTTCTGCTGTTGCCCAAGTCCAAAGGTGCTGGTCCATGAAGGGAAATGTCTCAGTGCTTCCCCCAACCTCCCGTGACAGCTGTCCTTTCTGGGGAGACCGAGGTGTCTCCAAAGCGCAGTCTCAAGAGCTGCAAAACCAGCCCTCTTGCAGGCCTCACCAGGACTTCCTGCTTCAAGTGGCTGGTCGACCTTTCTATGAGCCTGGGCACTGCCTGGATCCCACACAAGATCTGGATATGAAGAGGAAGAAGGAAAGCTACAGGCTTGGTTCTTTCTGTCGCCCCTGGGACCAGATGGGGTCCAGGTTAGAGCTGAAACTGAATCAAAGGTAACTTATCAGCATATGCTGCTGCATTCAGATGGGACTAGTCCCAACCATGAGCTTTTTACTGTATCAGAGACCTAATCCGAAGCTTTCAAAAATTCCTTGTCTACAACCCCGATCTTTTAATAAACCAGTAGAAGCTAGAATCAGATCTATAACTCTCAAAGGAAGAGCTAAAACCAAACCAGAACAGAAGATGTTCTTGGTACTGAACTTCAACTGAGCTGTCCCGTCACAGGAGAATCACAGACTTATCATGGCTGGAGCCACAGGGCTTTGAAACCCATAATCGCAACTCTTTCATTCCACTGGATCAAGGGTGGAACGGGGTTCAGTCTGGCTCCGGCCTGTGTGGTCCAGAGGAAGGAGGTGGCCAATGCATGGCTCCCACTGACCAAGGAAGCTGTGAGCTTCAAAGTTTCCCTCTACTCTTCCCAGATATAGAATGCCTAATGGTGAGGGGCTGTCAGGGGGTCCAAAAATAAAAGTGGGCATTTGAAAGCCAGCCTATCAGGTCTATTCTGTGGCAACACTCCTTAGTGTTTAAGCGTGCATCCCCAGGGCCAGGTTTCAATGACCACAAGCACAACAATGAATTGAAAGAAACCACAAATCCAGTGTAAGAGCACGGCATTAGCAGACCAAGCCGCACGTCTCAATGTCTGCTCAGGCAGTGGAAGGATCTGGGGACAGAACAGAAGAAGGAAGTGACAAGGACAGGTGGGATGAGTCACCTAGCGTGGTTTTCTAGCTGGTGTCCTGTCCTGAGAGGACCTGATCTTGGGGACATGTAGAAGCTACTGGGGCCATTTAGCTTGGATAGGCTCAGATGGTAGCTGGCTTTTAGCTCAGTGTGGCCCTGCCTGAGGGCAGTTAGACTAGGTGCATTTCCAAAGGGCCCTGTTTACCTAATTAATTTGTTAATAGCAACCATATATAGCACTTACAATGTTCTCAGCACTATTGAGATCAACTTACAAAATGCAAGCAATTTAACTCTTACAAGTACCCCTGACATAAAGCTATTATTCCCACTTTATAGATAAATCTGAGGCCAAGAGAGTTAGGTGATTTTCCTAAGATCACACAATTGAAACGTGGCAGAATTGAGATTTGCACACAGAGCCTAAAATCTCTGCCATTGTGTGACCTTCCACAAAGGCAAGCATTGCTATCCTTTGAAGTTGAGCAGATCTCAAAAGGCCAAATTTCCTCCTTGTCTACTATTCTTTCAGAGCTCTACCCAGTGGGACAATTGCCTGGTTTCCAGGGGCAAAAATAAATTCAACCTAAGTTGGAGGCTTAACTTGGGGGCTAAGACTCAATTAAACAGGGTTGGCTTTGGGGCAGAGGCATGTGAGGTGAAGCCTACAGGGATTACTGTCCAGATTTCCAGGTGGGAGGGGCCCCTTGGAAATGAGAATGGAATAGTAGCCCTCTCGGTATCTTTCATTTTAATCACGGCTATGTCGGTACAAAAATTAAGGACAACCTCTTTACTTGAACACTCAATTCAAATCAGCATATCCAATTAACTCACTTACCTGTGGGCCCTGCAAACTCTTTTTCCCTTGCATCAATTTTTTCTCTAGTTAGCTCTAAATTATGGGGCCCTTACCTGAGATTCAGCACTCTAATACGACTTTATTCATAGCAG